GCTGGACCGCAGTACGTCCGGGTCTGCGCGGTGCCGCTGAGCCGGTCACTTGCCAGCTGTCGGAAGTTTGCCCGCCCGTCTGGCGGGTGGGGGACAGCGTGGCAGCCCAGGGGGCCATCGGAGCTGTGCCCTGGTAACTCTGCTGCTAAATATAGTCAAAGCAGTGACCTGAGTCCTTTCATCCATCCACGCGGTGCGTGCCCGGCGCCCGTGCCAGCCCCAGAGCTTTGACGCTGTGGGATAAACCAGGTAAATCAGACGCAGTCCCCGCCCTCAGAAGAGCGTAGTCCGACCTAGGCGTTGTGGCAGCGTCGAGCCCAGACTCAAGGGAGACGCGATATGGGCCACACGTGGGGTGAAGTCCCGGGGGTGGGGGGGGGATCAGTGAGGCTGTAGAGAGGAGATGCCGTTTAAACTGAGTCAAATATGTGTGGGAATTTGTCAGGTGGGTTCCGAGGGAGGGTAGTGGTGGTGTTCCTAAAAGCACGAACGCCCATGCCAAAGTACTGGAGAACCTATCGTCTTGTCTGCTGTAACACCAGCCCTTGGGATGTGGAGGCAGCAAAAGTTCAAGGTCTTCCTTAACAACACCGTAAATTCGAGGTCAGACCCTCAAAAATAAAAATTATGGGGCCTGGCGTGGTGGCGCTCAGGAGTTAGAAGCAGACAGATTTCTGTGAGTTAGAAGCAGACAGATTTCTGTGAGTTCGAAGCCAGCCACGGCTACATAGGAAGAAGACCAGGTCTCAAGACGAAAAAAAACAAAACAACTGAAAGACCCCTGGCTGAGATCTTCCTCCGGGAGAGACCCCAAACCCAAGGAACACACCGAAACCACAGATCAGATGCAAAAGCAAGAGGGTTTATTTAGACCAGGTACCTGGGGCGAAGTCTCTTGGAGGACTTGCGCTCTTTCTTAGGGCAAGGGGGACTTTTTATGGGATCCCAGGGGCAGAGGCGCGGTTACAGAAGCGAGAAGCATAGTTACAGGGTCCCTATTGGTTGTTTCAAAGAAAGCCAGGGTGAACTTGGGGTCGTATGTGTGTGGCTGATTTGGCCTTGTCCAGGCCAGCTGCTTATTTCTCAAGGCCAGGGGGCCAGCCATAAAATATCCTGATTCGACTCAACTGTCTTTCTCCCAAGGCCGCCGACCACAGTTATCTCTCTCAAGGCTGGATGGCTGGCCAAGCTATCTCTGTCAAGGCGGGGGGGGGGAGCATTTTATTGGCCCAAAGCCCCATGTCCTCATAATGGAGCGGGGGTCTTTCACAACAACAACAAAACCCCGAGTCTATGAACTGAAAGATCTGGAGATTGAAACAGAAAACTGAACCATCTTCGAAATTAAAATTTTAATTTCATAGTTGCTGGGGCGAAGGCCTTGGACAACTAGAGTAAACAGAGGTCTCGAAGGACTGGAATATAAATCAAATACCATATTTATATAACCACTACCTACCATAGTTCCTTAGACAGTCTTCCAAAGAATATTCTGAGTGACAGGATGTCCAGTGAGTTGGTACCACCGATTATATCTCCTTCCGCGTATCAACAACTATAGAAAAAGACCCGAGACATTGATTTGGTTGCTTCTCACTTGCTATATGAAATCTCGATTTTCTAGAATTGTGCGTTTGTAGAAAGCTGAATCCTTATTCTCTAACTTGGCAGAACTAAAGCGGCATGGACCTGCCTGTGGACGAGTGGAAAGCCTACCTTCTTGACAAGTGGGCTCTACTCCCGAAGGCTGTGCGGGACACAGTTTCTACAGCAGAGACGCTGAGCGACGTCTTTCTTCACTCCTCCTCCCTCCTTCAGTAAGTGGACGGAAACGCTAGGGAAATTTTGATCTGGAATGCGTTCTCTCTCGTCATTTGATCTGAAGTTACATCTTTTTCTGCTGGAAAGAGTAGTTTCATGTTTTTTATATTATGAGGCATTAAGCAGTTCTTAATCTGTTTTCACATTTCTTCCTAGTCTGTGATGATAGAATGTGCAGGGATAACTATTTTCCTTTTTCGGTATGTATTATAGTTCAGTAATTTAGTGTCATGTTGTAGTCCTGAGGCTGTAAACCTTTTTGTCACTCAAAGGCTATATGGTGCAGATTGTGTAGCTGCCCAAAGAAATTCGTTGGGAAAGAACCCGAGAAATTATATCGTCTAGCCCCAGTAATTTTCAGATTCTATGGACAATATTCATTGGTAAGCTAGACATTTTATATCACAACCTAGTAAACATATGCATATGTAGAAAACAGTGGAAACCCAAGTTTCATTTATTCAATGAATGTTATTTTTAATTTTCTGAAATTAAAATATAATCGCATCGTTTCCTCCCTCCAGCCTTCTCATGTACCCCTCCCCACCTTGCTCTTGCCCTCTCTCAAATGCATGGCCTCTTTTATTTTTAAGTTGTAGTTGTGTTTGTGTGTGTGTGTGTTTCTTAATATATAAATACAATCTAGCCGGGCGGTGATGGCACACACCTTTAATCCCAGCACTCGTGAGGCAGAGGCAGGTGGATCTCTGTGAGTTCCAGGCCAGCCTGGGCTACAGAGTGAGATCTAGAACAGGCTCCAAAGCTACACAGAGAAAACCTGTCTCAAAAAACCAATAAATAAATAAATAAATAAATAAATAAATAAATAAATAAATAAATAAATAAATAATAAATACGATCTATGCCATCCATATGATGTTACTTGTATGTGTATGATTGCAGGACAGACCACTTGGTATTGGATAACCAACTGGGACTTGGTATCCCTGGAGAAGACTGTTTCTCCCACTCTGAACATTCTTTAGTTTCTTGTAGTTCTTTGTCTGACATTGGGCCCCTGTGAGAACTTTTTCCCCTTTCAGGTTAACCTTTATATTGGTGTCATCCTTATCCAGGTCTTGTTTAGGCAGCCATGTTGTTAAGACTTCATAGCTTCCCGACATTTCTGGGAGATGTGATCTCACAGCAGAATTTCTGGCTCTTAAAATCTTTCCACCCATCTTCCTCCTGTTCCCTGAGCCCTAACTTCAAGAGCTGTGCTGTCAATGTATCAGTTGGGGCTGAGCTCCACGTGATCACTTGTTCAGTAACTATTATTGATTGCTCAGTGGCAATCAGTAATATTAATCCCTGCACTCTGGAGGCAGAGGCAGGTAGACTGGTCTATGTAGAGAGTTCCAGGCCAGCAAGGGCAATATAGTGAGACTCTGTCTCAAAGACAAAAAATAAAGGGGGCGGGGTTGTTTCAGCAGGACACGTAATAAAAATTGGAACAAAAGAAGTCAAATGACAGCGATCACCAGGAAAGGGTGTGAGTGTGCGTGCCCCGAAAATGACAGCGATCACCAGGAAAGGATGTGAGTGTGCGTGCCCCGAAAATGACAGCGATCACCAGGAAAGGATGT